CCCTCAAAAATGAATAAACCTTAAAAAAATACAGTCACATTCTGAGGTACCAAGGTATGGGCTTCAACATCTGATTAAAAAAAAAATATTTTTAACGTTTATTTATTTTGGAGAGACAGAAAGAGGGGAGAAGAGACAAGCAGGGGAGGGGCAGAGAGAGAAGGAGACACAGAATCCAAAGCAGGCTACAGGCTCTGAGCTGTTAGCACAGAGCCCAATGTGGGGCTCGAACCCACAAACTGCAAGATTATGACCTGAGCTGAAGTTGGACGCTCAACCGACTGAGCCACCCAGGCATCCCCAGCATCTGACTTTTTGGGGGCCACAATTCAGCCCATAGTGATATCTTCAAATATCTTGTCTATAATAAGGTGGGGGAAATCATAACAGCTAACACACAGGGATTGGTGAAGAAGCAGCAGTCACTCACTAGCCAGGATATGGGGATGTCTGGTCCCTTTTGTTGTTTGGACAAGGTTCATGTTTTGTCTGTGTTGAGACATGATTATGGAGTCATCTGGATTTTGTCTTCACCACAGTCACAGAGTGGCTTTGTCCAATGTTGATAGACTGTGAAATTGTTTATGCTTAATAGGAGAACACCATGGCCTGGCTGTGGATAGTGTCAGCTTGTAACAACACCAAGGTCTCACCCATCAAGCTAGACCACTCCCTGCTGGCAGAGGAGGTTTCCCCTTGCCCGTGATCTAGGTACACACAGTGTACTTGCTAAGCAAAGGCAGCTGTAGGGTAATTGCTACCCCTTCCCACTAGAAATTCCGGTGCCAGTGCTGGGTGACCAAGAGAATGTGGCAAAACTCTGGTCCCCTTTAGGGAATGCAGGGGGCATGAAGAAGTGGAAATGCAGGAAGCAGCTCTTATGTTGCTCACTTTGAGTACACACTCTGATGGTGTAGACTCTGTTGGAATACCTGGGTATTCCTTGGTGTTCCATTTCACGTGGTGTCAGTTTTTTTTCTTTTTCTTTTATTTTTCTTTTCTCTTCTTTTCTTCTTTCTTTCTTAACATTTTATTATTTTTTTTTGAGAGAGAGCTTGAGCCGAGAAGAGACAGAGACAGAGGGGGACAGAGGATCTGAAGAGGGCTCCACACTGACAGCGGCAAGCCCAAAGCAGGGCTCAAACTCATGAACCGAACCGTGAGATCATGACCTGAACTGAAGTCTGATGCTCAACCAACTGAACCAACCCAGATGCCCCTGGTGTGTTAATTTTCTGTTGGCTATGTGACAAATCACTAACTCAGGGGGTTAGAATAGAACACATCTATGATCTCACATTTTCTCTGGGTCAGGAGTTCAGGCTTAACTGGGTCCTCTGCTGAGGGTAACCCAAGGCTGCAGTCAAGGTGCTGCCCAGGACAGGGCTCCCATCAGAGGTTCTACTGGGAAAGGATCTGCTTCTGAGCTCACTCAGATGCTTGGCAGAATTCATTTCCTCCTGGCCGTAGGACTCATGACAGCTCGTTTCATCAAAGATGGCAATGGAGAGACCCTAGTGAGATTGGCAGCACACTACATGTGTGATCACATGTAAGTGATCACGTACAACCCATCGTCTTCGTCACCTTTTGTTGGTTGGAAGCAAGTCACAGGTTCCTGCTCATACTCAGGGGGAGGGAATTAAACAAAAGTGTGAATACCGGGGGGCAGGATCAGGGGACCTACCCTCCACCCTGGGGCTGCCCTGACCGTTTTGGGAAATCTGCGGTGTGCTAAGTGATTCAGGGTTTGGATGGCTACAGGTCAGTCAGGCCAGGCCAGCCAGGCAAGGCAGGTGTGGTGGAAGCCACAGCAAATCCTCTGGGCATCCTGAAAACTTTGTCTTTGAGGGAGGATCTGATTTAGGGGAAAGAACAAATAGAACTCCAGAGTATAATTTCCTCGGGTGACTGCTGTGAAGGGGACAAGCCTCACAGACTTGTGTGTTTCAGGAATCCATCAGTAGGGGCACAAAAGGAAGAACTAAGAATAGGTGGACACAGGAAGGTTACCAGGGTACCAACTATACATGAAAGAGAAACAGAAAGAAGCAGGGGAAAGTTTAGGAACATCCAGGTGTCTGGCAATGGGCTGCAAGAACAATACCCAAGGAAGGGAGCTGAACCAGGTACCGAAACTGTGGATAGGCAGAGAGGAGGCTAGGAGGACATTTAGCATCTCTTTCTTTTTAATTTTTTTTAATGTTTGTTTATTTATTTATTAAAAGATTTTAGTGTTTATTTGCTTTTGAAAGAGAGAGACAGAGTGAGAGTGGGGGAGGGGCGGACAGAGAGGGAGGCACAGAATCTGAAGAAGGCTCCAGGCTCTGAGCTGTCTGAACAGAGCCTGAGGTGGGGCTCGAACTTGGGAACCGTGAGATCGCGACCTGAGCCGAAGTTGGCCATGAGCCACCCAGGCGCTCCAGCGTCTCCTTAATCATGAAGTGGAAGCCAGAAAAGCTATCAGCCTAGAAGATAGGTGAGGACCAGGTCATGCAGGCCTGCCTGTCACCAGGTCTGGGGCAGCACTGTGAAGTGATGGGGGCCTTAAGAATGTCTGTACAGACAATGTATATAGAGTAGATGTGATCTTATTGAACGTTTGGATATTGGGTGTCATACAGAATAAATTCTACTTAATGATGGGTGTAAGGCAGGCAGCTCCACCTAAAAAAATATTGGAGCTGAAGAAAATTGTTCATACACTAGACATTTCAAGTTCAGTGTATGACCATATCCTGGGCCATAAAACAAGTCCCAGTTAATGTAAAATGATTGCAGTCATACAGACTATATTCTCTGATTGTAATGGAGCTAGATCGGAAATCATAACAAGATGTCTAGGAAAAACCCACAATTTGAGAATTAAGCAACATATTTCTAAACTAACCATGGTCAAAGAAAAAAACCCACCAGAGAAATCAAAAAGTATCCCAAACTGAATGATAATGAAAATACAGCTTTTCAAAAATTTGGGTAATGCAGCTAAAGCAGTGCTTAGAGGGAAATTTCTAGCTTTAACATGCTTATATTAGAAAAGAAAGGCTTTAAGTCAGTGACCTGGTGTCCCACCTTAAGAAGCTAGAAACATGAGAGCAACATAATCCAAAGTAGAAGGAAGGAAATAATAAAGGTTAGAGCAAGAATCAAGGGAATAGGAAAGAGACAAAGAAAACTAACAAACTCAGACTTGTTGTTGTTTTTTTTAATTAAAAAAATGTTTACTTTTGAGGGAGAGAGAGAGAGACAGGGCATGAGTGGGGAGGGGCAGAGAGAGAAAGAGAGGGAGACATAGAATTCCAAGCAGGCTGCAGGCTCACAGCAGTAAGCACAGAGCCCCACGTTGGCTTGAGCTCCCCAACCTTGAACTCACCAACCCTGAGATCATGACCAGAGTTGAAGTCAGATGCTTAACCGACTGAGCCACCCAGGCATCCCTCAGTCTCGTTTTGGGACATATTTTCTCTCCCCCTCTTCCTCTAGCTCCAGCTGACTGATTGACACTCCATTTGGAATCGGGGAAGAGTATGAAGTAATAGTTAATTACTTCCTCTAGAGATTCGGGTGCTTTCATCTCACGCCGGGAGAGAACATTTTTGCCAGTAGGCGGCAGCACTGGCAACCTGAAAACCCTGACAGGTGGCGGTGCGGGTCGGCTTGCGGTCCAAGGTTCGACGACAGGCTAAAAGGGTGTCGTTTGGAGACAGGAGAGTCAACTCCAGAAAGCAACCCCCCACTGAAACTTAAAACAGGAAAAATCTGGCGATTTCACAAAAACACCTGAAGCCTAAACGCCTCTGAAATCATAGCTGGAGAAACTTGGCTTTTAAAAGCCCAGGGGTTCTTTACTGGAGTATTGCAAATGGGCATCTGAGGCTCAGAGAACTTCTCCCATTGCGTGTAAATCTGGGCCTCTGCATCTCCACAACCCCTCATCACTCCCAGTTTCTTTCCGGGTCTCAAAATGGACAGGGACTACACCACTCAGAAGGTGATCACGCGAAAGTATGAGCTGTACCTCAAGGTTGGTGAAGTGCGCTCAGGGCTTGGGTGGGAGGTGGCAGAGGCTGGGCACAGCTGGTGGCTTTCGTAATGTTTTCTTCCTGAAGGCTCAGCGTTGTGAAAAGGGATTAGGAGCAGAAAGGGAGCAAGTTCATTCTGCAGGCCTCCTGTGTGTATCAAACAAGATGCTTTCCATAAATGTCCTCACTTAGCCTTTGAAGGAGTCCTTCAAGTCTGATGTTCACATCCTTAATATTATTCTCCCAACTCCCTTAAGAAAACACCTAATGGGGTACTGGCTTTTGTGGTCCCGGATGTTAAGTGTATGCACAAATGGACCGTTCCCCTCTTATAAATTTTTTTTTGTTTTTATTTATTTCTAGGAGAGGGAGAGAGAGAGAGAGAGAGAGAGAGAGAGAGAGAGAGAGAGAGAGAGAGAGCGTGAGCAGGGAGCAGGGGAGGGTAAGAGAGAGAAGGAGAAACAGAATCAGAAACAGGCTCAAGGCTCTGAGCTAGCAGTCAGCACAGAGCCCGACGCGGGGCTCGAACCCACGAACCGCGAGATCATGACCTAAGCGAAAGTCGGACGCTTAACCGACTAAGCCACCCAGGCGCCCCCCGTTCCCCTCTTATAACAGGGTGATTTCCTTTGTTTAAACGCGCTTTCCTTTAAAGTATAGCCTATCATTTGTTTCTTTGGACTGACTTGCAATCAAGAGCCACACTCAGAACTGGCAGCATAAATACAGAGGTAAGGGCAGGAGCCAATAGGATTTTGGGGTGAGGTTGGAAGACAGTGCTGACCTTCATTTTCCGCTTCTGGCCGGCTCGCCAGGTGGCCGGCGGCCCCGGCAGAGCTCGGGCGGGAGAAGCCGGGCCCCGGAGGCCGCGGCCGCCTCGGCGCGGGGCGGCGGGGCGGCGGGGCGGCGGGGTGGGGGGTGGGAGGTCAGGGCCGGGCCCCACGTGGCCGCCGCCGCCCGCCCCGCGAGCCCCGCCCGGAGGCGGCCGCGCGAACTGCAGACGGAGCAGACGCGAGGCGCGCGGCTGCCGGCGAGCGCCCCGGGTCCCCCGAGCCCCGCGCGCCATGGTGGGCGCCGGGCTAGTCCGCAGCCCCGCGGCCGCCGGCTAGCCGGGCGGGGCGGCCGCCGCTGCCTCACTCTTTCCCGCCGCGTCCAGGACCTCTGCGCCGCCGGGAGGAGGATGAGTCCCTGGGGCTGGCTCCTGCTGCCGACCCTCTGCGTCCTGCGCGCGGGCGCAGCCCCGCCGCGCGGCGCGCCAGCCTCAGCCAACTGCGAGCTCAAGCCCCAGGTAGGGCGCGCGTCGGGCGTGGGCACGCAGCTTTCCCGCACCTCCCCTGGGGGGTTACCTTCCCAAGCCTGCGGAGCACCGCGCGCTCGGATCCCAGGCCACCTCCCCCTGCGGCGCCTTTTTGCTGGAGCATCCGCTGCACCCCGGGGTCCCCTTTCTGGCGGCGGCGCAGTCCCCTAGCCGCGTGAGACCCTGTCCCCAGCCCTCGCCATTGGGCAGGACAGCTAAAGGGAGTCCCGGCGGGGTCTCCCGGGTCTCTCCAGCCTGCTTCGCGGGCATTCGGGCACATTCGGTGGATGAGTCCGCTAAGATAGAGCGGTGCAGGGACTTAGGCACATTTACTTTGTAGGTTTGTTCTGCCTTCTCTTCCCTAGCGTTTAATTTCCCCTGCTCTTACCCAAATGGTAGGAGCACCCTGTAGCTGCTTGATTTAACCTTGGTATAGTCAATGCCTGAGTTAGAAGGGATTTGGGGGAGCCTGACGCCATCCCCCTTGTTTTACCAAGCTGGGAAATTGAGGCTCAGAGAGGGACATGTGTGCCCCAGGTCACAGAGCGCCTTGGCGAAGTAGCCACACCTGACAGCCACGCGTTCACGCACAGACGCTTCCTCAGATGTTCGCAGGGGCGCTTTTCAGGTGAGCGGAACCCAGGCGAGGAGTGCCAGTGACCTGCCCGGGTCCACCGCGCCCTACGGGGGCAGAAGCCGACCGGAAGTCGGACAGGTCTAGCGTCTTCGAGCTTGGCCCTCTTTCGAGATCAATGTTTCCTTTTCCTAATCAATTTTCTTACACTCGAAATTTTCTGTCGTTCTGAAGTTCACTTCCGAGCTCCGTGGAGGTTCAATTTTGTGAGTTTGTATTGGGGGGTCTGATCTCCGGATCCCTGGAGTTGGGGAGGCTGATCCTAGGCCCGTCTTTCAGGTGGGCTGTGCGCGCTCGGACACGAGGGTCGCCCCACCTTCGGCGACACCTGCGCGGCATCCGGGACCGTGTCACCTCCGGCTAGTGGTAATTGTATTCATCGTCCTAACCACAGGAAAGGAGAGGGTGACCTAATTGAGCCTTCCTGGCGCACGGGGCTGACCGGGGAGTCACACTGATTTCCCCGAGCTTCCTGCGCTGCTTTCCCTGTAGGAAAGCGGGCAGCGTGGTGGCTGCAGAGGGAAATACGCACCAGGGAGAATTTGGAACTCTTGCGCTGTGGCAGCTGCGCTCTCGTTATACAAGGCGGAAACCCATCCTTTCCGGTGAAAGCAAACGTTTTTCCCTTTTGCAAACTCCACTCCAAATTATGGTATGATGAGTGAGTCGTGATAAAAGTCTCTGTTTCTCTTTACTCTTGAACTTGTGTTCATGGCCTTTTATATTCTCCCAGTTCTCAAAGTTTTTGGTCTCGGCATCCCTCCACATTTAAAAAAAGTCCCGAGGACTCCAAAGAGCCTTTATGGATGTAGGTTGAGGGGCCCATTCGTAAAACACAAGGATACATAAGCACACATGTCATTAACCATCACAGCAGTGATGTTGTCACACACCTGTAGCCTTTAGAAAATTCTAGGTGTACATGTGTGAAAGAATGACAGCAAGAGAGGAAACTATCTTAGCATTATTATTAAAATAGTCCTGGCCTTGCAGACCTCTTGGACGGGCCATGTGGACACCCATAGGTCCCTGGGCCACATTTTGAAAATCTCTGAACTATTCTGGGAGCAAACCGTGTTATCCCCTGCAGAGGTCAGGTCAGTGAGTGGCAGGGCTATACGCTGACCTGCACTCTGTAGAGGGCACTGTGGGTGGGTGCCCCAGAAAGGGGGGGGGGGCGGGGATTGAGGTTGTAGAGTAAAGCCCTGGAATCCAGCCTCCAACGCACTACGTGGCATTTTGTGCCTTGAGAGCTGGTTTCAACTTTCGTTAATCATTACAGAGAGGTCTTCCAAGGTGGCCTGCAACATGCTTGTTCCCATACTTCCACCTGGTCTTTGCTCAAAGAGACCCTTCCTGATTATCTATTAAAGATTATGTCAAACCCCTGACCCACCTGCCCTCTTACCTGCCTTTCCTGCTTTATTTTTCGTTGTAGCACTTAACTGATAAAAATGTGTTTGCTGCGGCCCCCCTGCCACCCTTCCCCCGTAATCTTCATCGGGGGTGGAATTTTTGTCTGTTTGGTTTGCTGCTGCATACCCAGGCTGAGAAGAGTGCCTGGCCACTGTAGACACTCAATAAATATTTGTTGAATGAAAAGTGACCGCTAAAGCCAACTACCTCATTTTGGTATCATTCTAGCTGGTCTGCTGAAGTGCATTTTAGGAAAAGCGCCATTATCACAGGGCCCAGGAGGCTGGGACAGGAGGAGCTGAGCGGTGCAGCCGCTAAGGGACTTAGTCCACATGACACAAGTTGTCACTGTGCTCCTTTGTATTACTGCGTGGATTACAGATGTGTGCGTTAAAATCGCCAGTGATTCAACGGACACAACTGGGGCAGATTTATTTGGGCAGGTCCTGGGGCCGGGGCAGGGGAGCTGGACAGAGCCTCTGCCGGACCCGAGTCAGGAGCTCTGCTGAGCAGCTCTGCGCCTGCGAGGCTCACGCAGAAAGATACGATGAGACCAAGTAAAGTGTGTTGCATGTTAAGGTCACACAATGCGATGTTTCAAACCCAGGGCTCGGGACCCAGTCTGCCTGGCTTTGAATCCACTGAACCACTGGGGGACCTCGTGTAACCCCATAAACCTCTCAAGTTCACAATTTCTGCGCGTGGCAATGGCCAGTGTCTTAAGTCGTTGTGTATCTTCTTACTGCCTTTCTTCCCATTTGCTCCTGAACGGGTAGGCTTTCACCCCCCGCATGCCACCAAGTCATTCTTGTATAGGGCCCTGGTGTCTTCAGTGTTGCTCCATCCAGAGGCCAGTCCTCAAATCCTTGACTCATTTGGCTCATCAGCTTACATTCTCCTCCTTGAAGCGCTGTCTCTGGTTGGCTTCCTAGTATTTCAATTTTCTTTCTTTCTTTTTTTTTTTTTAATATTTTTATTTATTTCTAGGAGAGAGAGAGAGACAGTGTGATCAGGGGAGGGTCAGAGAGAGAGGGAGATACAGACTCTGAAATAGGCTCCAGACTCTGAGCTGGCAGTCAGCACAGAGCCCGACGTGGGGCTCGAACCCACGAACCGCGAGATCATGACCTAAGCGAAAGTCGGACGCTTAACCGACTAAGCCACCCAGGCGCCCCTAGTCTTTCGATTTTCTGGCGACCTCGATGACCACTTCTCTCATTCTCTTTTGCTGGCTGCTCTTCTTTCCCTTGACTTTGCAAGGTTAGATTATTTCTAGACATTTACCTTCCTAAATTACACCTGGCTCCTTGGAGGTCTGATTCAGTCCCATTCCTTTAACTAACACATCTAAATGGTGACAGTGCCTCGTTTTTACCCTCTGGCACAGGCCTCTCCCAAAGTCCGGATTTATGTGCCCACCTGCCACCTCAACCTCCCTGCTTGCTGTCTGCTTCACATATTGACTCAGCAGAGCCCAGGCCAGACTTCTGACCTTCCCCTCTGATCTTCTTCCACCTGCTCTCTCCTCTGTCTTGGTTGATGGCAACTTTGTCCTTTGAATTAACCAGCTCATCAGCAAGTCCCATTAGCTCCGGCTTCCAGAATATATCCAGAACCTGATCACATTTCAATTCTATCATGACTGCTGTGTTCTCTTGCTTGGATTGTTTTGGTAATTTCCTAGCTGACTTTCTTGCATCTGCCCTCATCCCTCTCTCTGTTCCTCACGGCTACCAGGGCGTGACCCTGTTCAGGATCAGCTCACACCGCTCCTCTCACAAAGACCTGCCCTCGTTCCAGTGTGGCCTGGCCTTGCTCACCTCCCTAACCTCTCCTCCTGCTTTCCTCTTCCCTCACCCTGCCGCAGCTATGATGACATCCTTGCTAGCACCTTTCTGCCTCAGGGCCTTTGCACTACTGTTCCCTTCTCCTGGAGGGAAGGCTTTTCTCTCAGCTATTCCCCTGGTTTGCCCTCTTACCTCCTTCACAGAAAGACCCAAATCTCCTACCAGATGTGCAGTGATTTTCTTTTAAGTTTGTTTGTTTGTTTGTTTGTTTATTTGAGGGAGAAAGCATGAGTGTAAGCGGGAGAGGGGCAGAGAAAGAGGGAGGGAGAGAGAGAGACAGAGAGAGACAGAGAGAGAGAGAATCCCAAGCTGGCTCCATGCTGTTAGCACAGATCACAATGTGGGGCTTGAACTCAAGAAACCATGAGATCATGACCTGAGCCGAAACTAAGCATCGGATCCTTAACTGACTGAGCTGCGCAAGTGCCCGCATTCTGTGATTTTCTGATCACCGTATTGAAGACTGAATAACCCCTCGGCCAGTACTCCCTGCTCCCTTTCCTGCTCTTGTGTTCTCCACAACAGATATCACTGACATACCCGAGGCAGGTACCTGTTTTCCATTCACTGTTGTATTTCTAGTGCCCTTAAATGCCCCAGTGCCTCATACCTACAACAGTGGCTGGCACATACTAAGAGGAGTCTAAATAATTGTAGAACATGTGCATGTTGAATGCATATGGTAGGAACATTCTTTTTTTTTTTTAATATATATATATTTTTTATTTATTTCTAGGAGAGAGAGACAGCATGAGCAGGGGAGGGTCAGAGAGAGAGGGAGTCACAGACTGAAACAGGCTCCAGGCTCTGAGCTGGCAGTCAGCACAGAGCCCGACGCAGGGCTCGAACCCACGAACTGCGAGATCATGACCTAAGGGAAAGTCGGACGCTTAACCGACTAAGCCACCCATGCGCCCCTCGTAGGAACATTCTTGTGCAACTCTTGGATTGTCCCTGGTGCACAGTGAATATTTGATCACAGCCAGCTGTTCTTAGTGTCCTTACTGTTATTACATGGCTGGATGCCCCACATGAGTCTTGTTTGTTTGCTTTTAATTTTTTTAATGTTTATTTATTTTTGAGAGAGAGAGAGAGAGAGACAGTGTAAGCAGGGGAGGGGCAGGAAGAGAAGGAGACAAAGAATCTGAAGCAGGGTCCTGGCTCTGAGCTGTCAGAGCCTGATGTGGGACCTGAACCCACGAACTGTGAGATCGTGACCTGAGCCAAAGTCAGATGCTTAACTGACTGAGCCACCCAGGCGCTCCTCTTTGTTTGTTTTTTTTAAATAGGAGCAGTTTTCAGCAAAAAGATCGTACAACTCTATTTCTAGACTAATACTAATTGAAAAGGCAGCAATAAATAAATAAATGAAAATGGTACATATAGTTGAACAGATTTTGTTTAAAGAGAAGTGTAGGTATTTTGAGGTAGGATGAGACTTTAGGGAGACTAAAGGCATTGGGTAAAAACAAAACAAACCAAACCAAAATGAGACCACCCCTTCCACTCTGCCTACCCCCCAATCTCAGCCATGATCCTGCAGTATGAATTGGATTTTCTGGGGAATATATTTGTTTAATATCAAAATCTCCTGGCAGATGAAAATGGATTAGGTGCCCTTGGTTTTAATGATAACGTTTTAGCTCTTCACTGTGTCTCTGGGTTGGAAACTGTGTATAAGTCCTTTGGTAGACTGGGTGTAACTTGTGTGAGCAGACCCCTTATATAGGGCAGTGGTGCCCAGTCATGTCACCATTCAGGCTCTCTGGTTATTGTTTCTTCCCAGTAAAGTGAACAAGTAAACCAAACTCCAAACTAAACCTCTACCTGGAAGTCTACTTATACCAAACCAGTTACATTTATAGGTAATTATTTTGTTACCATTTTTTTTCTTTTTAATTTGGGAGAGAGAGAGAGAGAGAGAGAGAGAGAGAGAGCACAAGCCAGGGAGAGGGGAAGAGGGAGAGAGAGAGAATCTTAAGCAGGCTGCATGCTCAGCTTGTAGCCTGATGTGGGGCTTAATCCTATAACCCTGGGATTATGACCTGAGCTGAAATCAAGAGTTGGATGTTCAACCGACTGAGCCACCCAGGTGCCCTTTGTTACCCATTGTAAATAAACCAAAGCCATAACTGTCAGTCTCAACTTTTGATTAGCGTCTAGTTAACCACTGTTTTTCTCCTGGCTTGACCTAATTCAAACAGTGAGACATTGGACTGCTTAATTAGTGTTGGCAGCCATTGTTTTAGATGTAGAGCTTCTGTTTGGCTTTTTGATGTATTTAAATAATCCTGGGGACATTTGTTACTTCACAAGCGGGTGCCTAAGGTCAGGCTGGAGACCCTGGATGTGATTCCTCTTATTATTAATTCAATCATTAATAGGTGTTAGAAATACGTTTTTTTCATTTGTTCATTCACTTAACAATTAGCTGTCTAGTTTGTTTATTTCCATAACCTATGACAAATACTGTTATCTAACTCTTAAAGATGAGGAAATTGAGGTACAGAGAAATGAAGTGGCTTTTAAAAATCTCAGTGGGGAATGGGGCGCCTGGGTGGCTTAGTCGGTTAAGCGTCAGACTTTCGCTTAGGTCATGATCTCGTGGTTCGTGGTTTCGAGCCCCGCGTCGGGCTCTGTGCTGACTGCCAGCTCAGAGCCTGGAGCGTGTTTCAGTCTGTGACTCCCTCTCTCTCTGACCCTCCCCTGCTCACGCTGTCTCTCTCTATCTCTCCTAGAAATAAATAAAACATTAAAAAAAAAAATCTCAGTGGGGAAGCTGAAATAGAAGCAGAAGAATTTAGGCTTCTTTCACCCATTTGTGCATTTTTGAAAAGGTGGATGTGTGAGTAGAACTGTAACTTAAATACTTAAAAATTTTTTAAAATGTTTATTTATTTTTGAGAGACAGAGAGAGAGAGAGAGAGAGAGAGCGCACACAAGCAGGAGAGGGGCAGAGAGAGGAAGACAGAGGATCCAAAGCGGGCTCCACGCTGACAGCAGAGAGCCCGATGTGGAGCTTGAACTCACAAACCATGAGATCATGACTTGAGCCAAAGTCGGATGCCTAACCGACTGAGCCACCCAGGTGCCCCATAATTTAAATACTTGAAAAAAACAAGGTCACAGACTGGGGGCTAGTGAGATATGTTCTGTTTGGCTTGCATGGCATTTAAGAAAATGGAGATTGCATTTTCCAATTGGAATATTTTATTTAAATTCAGGATTTCTAGTTGCTTTTGAAAAGCCCATTCTGGAGCCCTGGGCCTATTCCCATGTGGCTCAGGCTGCTCAGCCAATCGTCTTTATCCAGAGCTGTGAGCTCATGTGCTGCTGGCCTTCCCTCCCACCCCAATATCTCCCTCCCAGCCCTTGTGTTTACCTGTCTGCCTCTGCCCTCTGGGTGGTCAGAAGATGGCCGGGAGCAGGAGGAGAAGAGGTTGAAGTCTGAGAAGGGGGAATTGGCCCCTGCATCAGCCAGCTCTCATCTGTCGGAGATTTTGAGATTCTGTGTAACCTCTCATTTGAAAACAAGTTGTTATAGCTTCAACAATGGCCACACAAATGCAAATACACCTGATCCTCACTATTTGCAGATCTCATGTTTGTGAATTAGGCTACTTGGTAAAATGGATTAATAACCCCAATGCCTGCGGCACTTTCATGGGCGGACATACCCAGAACTGGGAAGAGTTTTGTTTTTTTTTTTAATGTTTTATTTATTTCTAGGAGAGAGAGAGAGACAGCGTGAACAGGGGAGGGTCAGAGAGAGAGGGAGTCACAGACTGAAACACGCTGAAACACAGACTGAAACACAGACAGAAACGACGCGGGGCTCGAACCCACGAACCGCGAGATCATGACCTAAGCGAAAGTCGGACGCTTAACCGACTAAGCCACCCAGGCGCCCCGAACTGGGAAGAGTTTGAGTCACCTGATGCACACGCTCCCAGCTGAGGTGGAATAAATTGATACTGTGCTTTGTTTCAGCTCTCAAACAAGTAACAGGTGAATAAGTGTCCTTTTAGTGATAGTACTTAATGCTACGTTTTTTTCTGTTTTTGTGCTCAGTGTTTAGAATAAGCAAGCATAGATACTATGTAGTGTTCCTAAGCACAAAGAGGCTCATGCCTCACGGAGAACATGTTTGTGTTAGATGAGCTTCCTTCAGGCATGAGTTGTTGTGCTGTTGGCTGTGAGTTCAATGTCAATGAATCAACATGTATTAAAGAAGATGCTTTTCAACAGAGCACATATAAAACAAGGTTATGTATTTATCTGTCGATGAAAATTTTGTGACCAGAGGCTTGTAGGAACCTAACGCTTGTATTTCTCCTAGGAGCAGTGGTTCATTATTTGGTAATTCAGTGTTTTGGTGACTTTTCAGAACATAATGATGACAATAATGAGAACTGATTGTGAGCTGAAACTCCACAGTACAGGAGAACATGGTACTTAAAAGGCTGCATAAACTAAAGCCTTTTGTAAAGGGAATGTATCCATATCTTTTCTGTAAACCTGAATTTTCACACTTCTGGGTTGCTGGGTGTATGGTTCACCTCATATCTGACCTTCTGACTTGAAGTCCTTGAGGGCTGCCCCGTGCCCTTCTTTGTACAGAGTCTCTTCCTAAACAGACACTTCGTACATGCCTGCTGTTGAAACTGAGCGACTCAGGCACAGAGGGGACGATGGCTTGGCTTTGGGTGGATGTACACCACTGCTCAGCCTGAAAAGCCACTGGGAGAGACTGGGCCACTGTGGAAAGCCACTGCCTTGGGGAATGTTGGATTTGAGATCTGAAGAAGCAGACACCGTCAGTCTGCCTGCCTGAGAAGGAGCCATGGTCTCCTCAGGTGTCCCTCATCCGTACCAGGTGTGTCCTTGGAGTCCCTTGAGAGTCCTCGCTTTAATTTCTGCCCCGTTGATTGCTAGGGCAAATTTAAAGACTGCTATTGCCTTTTCGACTTTAATCAACATTTTGGGGGAACAAAGGGAAGAGGCTGCGTTGAGGACTCCCGCTGCTGGCCCGTGAATCTACTTGGACTCCAAAGTCTAAATTGTGGTTTGGTCATTGTCCTCTCGTGGTGTGACATATCTCTGCCATTCGTTTTCTTCTCTCAGGTTTCTGACCCTCCATATCATGACTTAATGGCCTTTCTTTTCCCTTCAGCAGAGTGAATTGAATTCCTTCCTGTGGACCATAAAGCGAGACCCGCCATCTTACTTCTTTGGCACGATCCATGTTCCATACACCCGAGTTTGGGACTTTATCCCCGACAACTCCAAGGAGGCTTTTCAGCAGAGCAGCATCGTGTACTTTGAGCTGGACCTCACAGACCCCTACACTGTATCGGCCCTCACCAGCTGTCAGATGCTGCCGCAGGGCGAGAACCTCCAGGACGTGCTCCCCAGAGACATCTACTGCCGCCTCAAGCGCCACCTCGAGTACGTCAAGCTCATGATGCCCTCGTGGATGACCCCAGACCAGCGTGGCAAGGGGCTCTATGCGGACTACCTCTTCAACGCCATCGCGGGGAACTGGGAGCGGAAGCGGCCCGTCTGGGTTATGCTCATGGTCAACTCCCTGACCGAAGTGGACATTAAGTCCCGCGGGGTGCCTGTCTTAGACCTGTACCTTGCCCAGGAGGCCGAGCGGCTGAGGAAACAGACTGGGGCCGTGGAAAAGGTGGAAGAGCAGTGCCATCCACTGAATGGGCTGAACTTTTCACAGGTAAGACTCACTTTGCAAATCCTTTGAAGGACTTGGCATTTGACTGTGTGTGAGTCCACTGAATTATAATACAGGAGATGGGCCAGAAGGACAGTTTATCCAAAACTTGTCTTTGCTCAAGAATGTTATTCTGAGGATTAAAAAAATAAGCCATAGAGTCAGTTATATGGCTCGTGTGTGTAGTACTGAGAGAGAAGAGGGTTTTTTGTTGTTGTCCTTGTTCTTGTCATCCCCAAAAGTATTAGCATACCTTTATCACTTGTTTTAATTCAGATTATTCATTAAGAAGCTCTTTGATGGGCACTGAGGAGGGCACTTGCTGGGATGAGCACTGGGTATTGTATGTAAGTGATGAATCATGAGAATCCACCCCCCAAACCAAGAGCACACTGTATACACGTATGTTAGCCAATTTGACAATAAATTATTTTTTAAAAAAAGAAGAAGCAGCAGCTGCTTTGTGGGGCGCCTGGGTGGCTCAGTCTGGTAAGTATCCAACTCTTGATTTCAGTTCAGGCCATGATCTCATGATCTGTGAGTTTGAGCCCCTGTATGGGGCTCTGTACTGACAGCATAGAGCCTGCTTGGGATTGTCTTGTTCCCTCTCTCTCTGCCCTTCCCCTCTCAAAAAAAAAAGCTTTAAAAAATCAATTTTTTAAAGTTTGTTTTATTGTGTGTGTGTGTGTATGAGAGACAGAGAGAGAGAGAACCCCAAGCAGGCTCCCCACTCTCAGTGCAGAGCCTGATGTGAGGGTCGAGCCACCCAAGTGGCCCTAAAAAAATCCATCTTTATTAAAAAAAAAAAAAAAGCTGCATTAAGAGTATGTGGACAATGTGAATGTCAGACTGACTATCACAGGGTGTGGCCTGGTTTGAAAATTATATTGGCCATGGCTGTTTTAAGTGACATTGGTCCCTTTAAGATTATTGCTGTCCCTGTTCAGGACCCACCCCCAGGGTATTCTGTTCTTAAGACAGAGTTATATTCCTCTTTCCCATAGTTTACGGCCCCTCCCTCAGGACATTGGAATTTAGGTTCGTGTTCAAGAAGTTCTTCATTTCTCATAAGACACATAACAGTTCATTGAAGTGCCATTGTTTAATCATTTTGGTGAAATTTGTTGTTGCTGATGTTCTGTAGTGGTTTACATACTTCTGGGGACAAATGGGAATTTTGCAATATGAAATAAGTAGCGTTTTTTTTTTAATTTTTTTAATGTTTTCTTTATTTCTAGGAGAGAGAGAGAGAGAGACAGCGTGAGCAGGGGCGGGTCAGAGAGAGAGGGAGTCACAGACTGAAACAGGCTCCAGGCTCTGAGCTGGCAGTCAGCACAGAGCCTGACGTGGGGCTCGAACCCACGAACTGCGAGATCATGACCTAAGGGAAAGTCGGACGCTTAACCGACTAAGCTACCCAGGCGCCCCGAAATAAGTAGTTTTTACTTTAAAAGATTTTTTTTTAAATTGAAGCCTAGTTGACATCTAATATTACATTAGTTTCAGGTATACAACACAGTGATTCAACCATCATGTATACTATGAAATGTTCACTCCAATAATAAGTATGGTTACCATGTGACCATACAAAGTGGTTACAATATTATTGACCATATTGAAATAAGTATTCTTGTTTTATAAATATTCTCAGTGGCTGACCTTGGGATGTTGGCCCTCAGAATAAAAGTCAAACCTCTAGGTCTTAGGAGATCTTGAAATGCTGAACTTGGGTTGTTACTTAAAGGGCTTAAGGACTTTCAACAGCCTAAAAATAGTGTTCCTGAGTTGATAATAAAATTTGTAGGGAATTTAATTTACCTTGCTAAGAATCTATATTAACAAATACCCAGGTACTAAAATATAGTATTTGTTTGGCACACTGAGATTGATAGACAAGATAAGGGACCAGTAATTGTCTGCATCAATCTCCTGGGGAAGTTTTCTTACATTATTTTGAAAACCTAAGAAGCCAATATTTTAACTTTTTCAATGTTTGCATTTATTATTATTTTTAAAGTTTATTTATTTATTTTTGGGGTGCCTGAGTGGCTCAGTTGGTTAAGCATAAAGCTCAGGTCATGATCTCATGGTTGGTGAGTTCGATCCCTGCATTGGGCTCCATGCTGGAAGTGTGAAACCTGCTTGGGATTCTCACTCTCTCCTCTCTCTATACCCCTCCCCTGTTTGTGCTTTCTCTCCCCTCACAATAAATAAATAAGTAAACTTTAAAAAAAAAGTTTATTTATTTTGAGAGAGGGAGAGCACTAGCAGAGGAGGGACAGAGAACTTCAAGGGAGAGAGACAGAGACAGAGACAGAAACAGAGAGAGAGAGAATCCCAAGCAGGTTCCATGATGTCAGCATAGAGCCAGACATGGGGTTCAATCTGAGGAACCATGAGATCATGACCTGAGCCAATATCAAAAGTCAGACACCTAACCAACTGAGCCATCCAAGTGCCCAATGTCTGAACTTAATACAATGTTTTGTGAAAGGAAAGTGCTTTGATATACAGTCTCATTGATTTTGACCTTATAAGTTTGAAATCTGTGACCATTTTTGTCTGGGCTTAAGCCTTCTTTTATACTTTCAGTTAGGAGGGGAAAAGGCTTGGAAGTAGAATATTATCTTAAGCAAGGGATCTTTGAGGGAAGGTGTGTAGCATCATCTCTTAAGATAATACATTTAAGAGATATTTTAGCACTGCAGTTATATACTGGAGTGTCATTTTGATTTCATAACACCCTCTTTTTTTAAAAATTCTTTTAATGTTTTTATTTACTTGTGGGGGAGAGAGAGAGAGAGAGAGACATCATGAGCAGGGGAGGGTCAGAGAGAGAGGGAGACACAGAATCTGAAGCAGGCTCAGAATCTGAGCTGTCAGCACAGAGCCCAACGCGAGACTCGAACCCACGAACTGCGAGATCATGACCTGAGCCGAAGTCGGATGCTCAACCGACTGAGCCACCCAGGCTCCCCTTCATAACACCTTCTTAAAGTTCACGTAGGTATTTAGTATTTATAAACTATTTTTTAAATAAGAACTTGAGGTTAAGCTAGTGAGGTTACAGTGGCTTACATTTAGGAAGAAAAATTATATGACATTCCTGAAATTCTTTTTTTTTTTTTTGGTGGGGGGGTATAACTTGCTGTGTTTCATTTATAAACAGTAAAATACAACCTTAGTGAACAGGTCAATGACCCTTAACATATACCTATATACACTACTCAGATCAATTTATTGAACATTTCCATCACCCCAGGAAGTTCGTACACAGTTAAAACAGAAAAGTACACATACTGAATTTTCACAAACACAGTCATGTACCAAGCACTCAGGGTGAGAAACAGAACAGCACCAGGTCCCCCAAAACCCCTTGACCCTGACATCTACTCCTTCCACCCCCCGCAACCAGTCCCAACTAAGGATGATCATTGTTCTGAGAATCCTTGAGCATATATTAGTTTGACCATTTTAGAATTTCACATAAATGGAAATACGCAGTATGCTTCCTTTAGAGGGCTTGGCTTCTTTTGCTTAGCAATATCCTTGTGATTTACCATGTTGGTTGCCGTGTGTAGTTAATTGTCCATTGTTTATTCTCGCTGTTGTGTGGAATTGAAGAATTGCATCAGAGGCTTTGGGGTGGAGCCTTCTGGAGTCTCCCTTCTCAGGAATTCCAGAGAACAGTAAGATCATCTGCATTCAATGTGACGGAAGATGAGCCTAACTCATTCCCTTGGTTCTTCTGCTTCTTTTGAGGAGTGGTTGGTTCCTTCCTCCGTGTTCTCTGTAGCTCTGGAGAAGGCCATCAGTGGGTGCCTGACTACAAGGTGAGATGGGGAGATGACCAGCCCCTGCAGGCTCCTGGGATACCTCCCCAACTTGCTGCCAGGATGATGGAGAGGAGAGCCGGTCTTCCTCGAGGCCTGGGAGGAGCCCTGTGGTCCTCTGCTCCAGGGCTCCCTGCTCTCCTCTTGGACTGTAGGCTGGCAGCAGCTGGACACTGAGGCATGGCTGAGGCTGGAGCGCTGTGCTGGCTGTGGGAGAAGCAGTGGACCCAGAGCCAGATGTGCGGGGGTGAGAATTCCTGCACTATCACCAGCATGTGACTTCATGCCATCCCCTTAACTTCTCTGAACTTTGTTTTCTCATCTTAAAACATTTTTTTTTCTTTTTAAAAAAATTTTTTTAATGTTTTATTTATTTCTGAGAGAGAGACAGACAGACAGCATGAGCAGGGGAGGGTCAGAGAGAGAGGGAGACACAGAATCCAAAGCAGGCTCCAGGCTCTGAGCTGTTAGCACAGAGCCCAACGCGGGGCTCGAACCCATGAACCATGAGATCATGACCTGAGCCAAAGTCGGCCGCCCAACCGACTGAGCCACCCAGACGCCCCTTGAATTAAAATTTAAAAACTGATAATTGATTCAATTATTGGAACAATAGTTGTGTTTGGAACAACTTGGGCGTGTGGATCTCCTTTGTCAACTGTAAATTTTGTGAAATTGAACTACGGATCAAGTGTTTCTGATGGAAATTTAGTATCCAAATTGAGATGTCAGTTGAGTGGAAGATACACATCAGATTCTGAAGACTATGTGTGGCTAAAGAACAAATAACTTTTTCTCTTGATTACACGCTGAGATGATAATACTTTGGATGATTTGCGTTCAATAAAATATATCATTAAATTTAATTTCACCTGTTTCTTTTTTTTCCTTTTTTAATGAAGTTGCTGGAAAAATTAAAACTAGGTATATGATTCACGCTGTCTTTCTGTTGGACAGAGGTGATCCAGATTGATTCTGGATGAGTATGTCTGAGGCTGGTCCACTTGGAGGCCATGCTACTGGTGATGGATGTCATCACGGTTCCCTTTGCCACATGCTTAGTCAGGACTCGACTCTGGGGAGCCTCTAAATGCCTATGGCTGCCCCTTCTGGTGTAACTAGCCTGGGGTCGGCTTTTTTCTATTGACCTGTGATACTCTGTGTTTTCAG